CTTTCATGATAGATCTCAAACAGTGTATCGCGAACAATATAACTAAAATATGCTGGAGCCTCATCATAAATGAACCACATGCATCTTCGTATCAGCAGGGGTAGATCATCTACCAGGTCTGGAAGTGTGTTCCCTGTAGACAGCTCCTGTAAAACGTACTGGGAGAATGAACCTACCAGACAGTCACCTACAATTCCAGTCTACATATTAATCGTAAACTGATGCTAGTGTCTAGCCTGTGTTATGCCATTGGGATTCTTATCCACTCACAAATATTGGTTGTGTAAATTTGTTATTCCATATCTGCCAAATTTTGCCTTATCTATAAACATGACCATGCGGTAGTATGAGACATGCGACATGCTAGGGCAACTTGATGTGTGCTGATACCTGAGTCGTCTCCGACAACCCGTAGAATGTGTTCTTCGTGGTCAGGCGTACAAGCGGATCTCGGTCTTCCTCGATCCATAGTTTGTGTTGCCACAAATCCTGTCTCAGCAACGCGACGATAAACAGCAGCAAAAGTTGGATGACTCGGCTGCCTTCGGTCGGGAAGCGTAATCTGATACAGCCAAGTGTTCATTACCATTCGCACGGCCGTATGTAAAAACCATATCTACCTGTTCACGATATGAATATTCTGCCATTGTTAAACAGAACCCTTCTCCGTTAATTCACTACTACACGCGCTGAACGTTGAAGAAAGAATAGACACAAATGTACACGAATGACAAATGTAATCTAGTCTACATAGCAACACAGCGCACTCTACCGTAAATTTTCTTTAAACTTAATAACTCAGAAACAAAGAATAGGCAAACGTATGTTTATACGAACTTTTATTCTTGTTTTGATGTGAAGAACCCGCCCTCAAAGTTCGTAAAATTATTTTTGATACACCTTATAGTGAACTCTCAACGTATGAGGGTCAAGCAATTCAGTTCTTAGGAACCAACAGTCTAGACACCAGCGCATATGATTTGATTATAGTGGTGAAGGCTTTGCGCAGAACCAATCACATTTTTGAAGTGCCGAATACAAAGACCTGGTGCACTACGTGCTGCAAGTTCCCTAAACCACCCTCCGCAGGTTTTGCAATTAGAGCTGTGTCCTTCTCCTAGACCAGTTGCCATCCAAAGATATTGAACCCAGTCTGTTCTGCTATTTAGGTGGGGGGAAACGAAGAGTATTCATACCTTAGTACATAAGTGAATGTAATTTGTTCGACTGGAATTCGAACTCGGCTCTCCGATTCCTCAATCTGAGCCGCTATCCACTACTCCACCGTGCCTGTCAGACAAAACTCAGTTGATAAATGACTCGTTAAAAGCATTTATCAGGATACTGACGATCTAGGAGCATGTAAATATAAATTTCTATTTTATTGGGGTAATTTCTATTAGGATGGGCATTTTAAATCTGTTATAGAACTTATATATGATTCAAGGATGAGTTTGGCTCAAATGAAACATTCCTTCTCCGATAATCGTAAATGGATAATTTATTGCAAAGCGTACAATGCACGTGCGAATTTAGCACAGAACCATCGTAGCATGAAAAAAAAAAGTTTTCGTCAAGACTGAAAAAAAAAAAATCACATTTTTAACTAAGACCATTTTATCCAGTGGCAATCACCCAAATACCAGATAACATCTAAAATTACTCATACTTCTCAATCACAGAAGAAGATATCTGTTTTATTTTCATATCTTTATTTTATAAAAATTCTTTTTGTTTTGTTTTTATAAGCGGATGGCTATTTTTCTCGGAATTTCCGAGGCGATTAATTATTTCATATTAGTCCATTTCCGAGGCGATTAGTAATTTCATATTAGTCAATTTCCGAGGCGATTAGTAATTTTATATTAGTCAATTTCCGAGGCGATTAGTAATTTCATATTAGTCAATTTCCGAGGCGGTTAGTAATTACATATTAGTCAATTTCCGAGGCGATTAATTATTTCATATTAGTCCATTTCCTAGGCGATTAATTATTTCATATTAGTCCATTTCCGAGACGATTAATTATTTCATATTAGTCCATTTCTGAGGCGATTAGTAATTTCATATTAGTCAATTTCCGAGGCGATTAGTAATTTCATATTAGTCCATTTCCGAGGCGATTAATTATTTCATATCAGTCCATTTCCGAGGCGACTGTCTTTAGCTTGGTTGATAAAGCGGCAATAAAACAGAACAAGCATTCGATTTACGTCTCTAAAATTTTACCATGAGTCAGTAATCTAGTGGATAAAAGTGATGGTTTAGAAAGTCGTGCGTTCAGTCCCCGTGTCAGACTATGGCACTTATATATTCTGACTCAGGTAAATAGCAAAAGCAGTTTTACCAGGAAGAATTAACTGATATGAAGCCTAATTTAGCATAGATAGTGGAATGAGAATAGTCTATCTGTATAATTTAGGTTCTACATTCCCAGAAGATTACCAATTAAAAAAAAAAAAGAAAGACAAACATCTGAAAAAGGCCGGAGTGTACAACTGCAGAATGATGAGCACACGAGTCGGAATATTTCATTATTTCTCAACCATGAGAAATCTTAGAAGAGAATTGGTACCAAATTTTGGCAAATTCAAACTTATAGAATATTGATCTCTCTACATACACCAATTTTACAATGCACATTTTTGTGTTAGACAATTTTGCATAGGGACCAATATCATTCAGAGATATGGGAAAAAAGAGTGCATTGCCAAAAAAAGATTGAAAGCCACTGAAATATTTTCGTGTAGGAAAGAGTGACTGACCACTGGTCAATCTTGACCTACATTTTTTCAACTCTAGCTAAGCAACGAAGATGCAAACGATGGATTGGATGAAGTACTGTTCCCAAATAAAGCAAATGAAGTTGTCAATCGATGAAAAGCGTCCTGAATTAGTTTAATAATGCTTGACCGCATATTATCTTGGTGACTGAATCAAAAATATTATTTACATTCGGGCTATTGTCCTCATCTTTGTTGTGATTATTATCATAATGTTTCGGTCGTTGTACACTCCGGCCCTCATCAGATACTTGTTGATCCGAGAAAACTTCAGATCAAAACTTTTACAGCTTCTTTGGAAAGATTTTTTTTTCATGCGCCCTATTTGTCAGACATTGTATTTTCAAATTACCATTTATTCTTCATTTAGTCTTTATAGAAGTATTGTAATGTAACAAAGGCGGTGGTAAGTTTGTTGAGTAAAAAAACGTTCTTGAAAAATCGTTCTTTGTAAGTTAGCTGAAAGATGAGACAAGATACTAGAGCAAAAGTCTAAATAATCGATAAAGTTAATGTCGAAAAATTCTTTTATTTTTACTTTAGCAAACAAAAGAACGTTTTTTGGTAACGCAATAGTTTTGTGTTTCTACAAACATTCAGAAAGTTTTACGCGGCTTGACTTCGTCTGGTATAGGGTTCACTGAAATATAATCTTGGTTGTAGGAAATTTTTTGCTCCAATTTTTCAAAAGACTTTGTGTTTATAGAGAAAGTCGCTTATTGCGATCGCTTTGGAACAGTCTTTTAAATAACAGGAACTGACTGATGACATTAAGCAAAGGATATAAAACAATTTACATTTATTGCTATAAATTTTCAACATATTTTAATCTGAGGTAAAACGGATATCGCTATGAAAATTTCGAGTTCAAATTTCGGCCTAGTCCGTTGATTTCACTTTTTTTAATCAATTCACCCCAGGGAAGGCGATAATGCCGCTTAGACACAAGGGGATACTGGGAGTGAAAGGGAATTAAAAAACTTTAGAAGGAACAGGAAACAAAGGATAAACATCTACTCCTATTCAAAAGACCTGATGTTTCACTAATAATCTCGTGGAAGGAATGAATACATATCTTTTCTCCGTTATTGGCTAAATAAGAGGGTTGAATGGTGTCTCTAGACTTGGGTGGCAACCAGTTTAGAAGAAGGATTTCCCTAGATTCAAACCTTGGAGAAGGCAACGGGAAACCATTCCACTCCAAAAAGTTTTGCTAAGTTACAGAGAGTAAGGAAAAGGAATATGTGAAGAGACATGATCTCCTGTTAACAGAGGTTTGGTTGGTAACGAATCTTTTGTGGCATGGAGAGAACTTAAAAATAGTCGTTCGAGCTGAAATTTGAAAAGCAAAATTTCAACGAGAGCATTTCAAAACTGTAGCTGGTGATGCTGCGTCATTATTGTACAAGATTAGTGATTCCGTACGTGAAATGCACGCCCCACAGGATTGCAGTTTGAGTTTTTCGGGGATTGTAGTCTGGAATTTCGAGAACTGAGTTGTTTTAAGGTTCAACTGATTAATTCAAAAATCACTCTCATCAAATACCGAGGTCCAATGCATAAACAATGTTATCAGATAATTTCACCAGATGTGTTTTATTTTAATTATCCTTGAAGGTTATTTTCAATACATTTACTAAGTGGAATGAAAGTCTGTATAAAAGTAAACATTTTCAGCTGGCTAGTCAAAAGAATTTCGTCAGAAACAAAGAAAAACGTGTTGAAATACGATGTAATATCAATCCTTCTATATAGCAATGAATGCTGCTCACAGATGAAGAGGCAAATGAGATGTGGTTCTACAGAAGGACATTAAGAATGCCACGAACAAAACATGTGAGAAACGAGTAAGTTTTAAGAAAAACAGGAACACAAAAGACACGTGTACTTAAAATTAGAAGGAGCCAGTTTATATTTCTGCGACACATTGTGAGAAAAGAACTCTTGGAGAATTTAATGTTCAGAAGACTAAAAAAAGATGGCAAGAAGGGCAGATGGAAACAGCGAGTAACATATCAAACAATGTTGTGTTTGTGTGTCGCAAATTAGGAACTGGGTGGGATAGTAAGGGGGGGGCAGAGGAAGGAAGCCATCATTGCCAAGGGCCTGAAGGGTATTTGCTCGGAAATGAATATAACGAACCCAACGGCTATCGGAACTCGGTTCTCTGATTAACAATTTCGAGCCATTTTCCATTACACCACCTACACATTCAAGCTTACAGCTCAATGGTATTCCCAAGCGGTCACCCATCTACTGACCAAGCTCGACTTTGCTTTTCTTCGGTAATCGTATGGGAACCGGTGTGTGAGTATGAGCATATGGGCGTGTGGGGAGTAAGTGTGTGTGTGTGTGTGTGTGTGTGTGTGTGTGTGTGTGAGAGAGAGAGAGAGAGAGAGAGAGAGAGAGAGAGAGAGAGAATTAAATATATGAGTGTGATATGGGGGTATTTGTATGTATATGTGTGTGTATTTAAGCATATGAGCGTGTGGGAGGTATTATGTGTGTGTGTGTGTGTGTGAGTATTTAAGCATATGAGTGCGTGGGAGAATGTGTGTATTATTAACACTCAATTTATTAAGAATTTCTATCATACACAACGTTTCGGCCAAGTATCCCTGTTCATCTTCAGATATCCATTATTTTTGGCGGGTACGAGATAGCTGTTGATTACTGTGTTATTTTTATATTTTATTTTATATTTTATGTTATATTTATATTTCTTCTGATGAGAGTTCTTGTTCCTTTCTGCAGAAACAGTGTCTATATTGTCTCACTACCTGATCCAGGGATTGAACATAAAGCCACTAAATGACAGCAAGACACTTAGCTACTACGTAACCAGGTGTAGGTTCGAGTAAACATATGTTTTTGCAATTAACCAGGCGAAAAGTTCTTTCAGCTTTTCTGGCACAAGGCCAAAATTTCGTGGAAGCAATTGATTTTGGTTTCACTTAGGAAAAGTGTGAACAAGCGTTGAACCTACTCGGCTGACACTTTCTGAATGATTTGTCCAGATCTCACACTAATATTGACCTTTTCCGCTGCTTATGTGGCGATCTCAGAAGATGGCAGTCTCCACTTGTTGGATGTTGACATCCTCAATAGTTGACTAAGGGAGTCCGAGAATAGGGACCGTTTTCTCTGAAGTACGATCATCTTTCAAATGCTGATGCCAGTACTTGATGACACTGTAGGATGTGGCATCTGGTTCATACACTGCTATCATTTCCTCCAAAATCATTTGTGGTTTGGCGTCTTTCAAAGATAGAAACGTGTTTATAGCTCAGTTCACCACTGAAACCTTATTGCGAACTGACACCTGAAACACGAACACATTTATTAGGGTGAATCTGTAAAAATTAAGTGGATCCCAAACTACGGATGCGTGTTTCTACATGTACAATCTTACGATCAGTTGAAGTGGGACAGGACAAACATTTAATGAAGACGCCCCATCTTTAAGACGATTTACGACTTCACGATATTATTAAAATTAATATTATATATTTGGGCATATCAAAACTATATCGTGGTTGACCGAACATTGCCTCAAAGACGTTCGAAGAATTCAGGAAGTAGAAAAGAATAAAACAACATTAAGCGTTTATAAGAGTAGTGATTTGTACTTTGAAATAAAGCCCAGAAGTGGGTGACTATCAGTTGTCAAAATATAATGGTTTAAAAACAAGCTCGATAAAAACCTGATTATCAATACTTGGAAACTCATAAGAGAATTAAAGAAGTATTACATAAGCTTCACCACTGAAACCTTATTGCGAACTGACACCTGAAACACGAACACATTTATTAGGGTGAATCTGTAAAAATTAAGTGGATCCCAAACTACGGATGCGTGTTTCTACATGTACAATCTTACGATCAGTTGAAGTGGGACAGGACAAACATTTAATGAAGACGCCCCATCTTTAAGACGATTTACGACTTCACGATATTATTAAAATTAATATTATATATTTGGGCATATCAAAACTATATCGTGGTTGACCGAACATTGCCTCAAAGACGTTCGAAGAATTCAGGAAGTAGAAAAGAATAAAACAACATTAAGCGTTTATAAGAGTAGTGATTTGTACTTTGAAATAAAGCCCAGAAGTGGGTGACTATCAGTTGTCAAAATATAATGGTTTAAAAACAAGCTCGATAAAAACCTGATTATCAATACTTGGAAACTCATAAGAGAATTAAAGAAGTATTACATAAGCTTCACGAATTCAACCTGGGAATAAAAGTTTGTAAAAAACGAAAATACTTTTGATAGCTTTTAAGATTTCTGCAGTTTTTATAGATAAATATGCTTTAAAAATTAAGTCAGCATCAACGTAAAATTTTGGCATCGATGCTGATTTTATTAGAACATCTTGATGCTATATAATGATGAACAAACTTTCCTATTAGTTTATCGTTATGAGTTCGATATTTACTGGGTACAAATCGTATAGAGCTTTGTGTCAAAGCAAACTGCATCTTAATTAAATCCATATCAGTATTTACTATCAAATCGGTCTCTGTATACATGTACGCATGCGTACCTGAATTTTGACGTTTTCATCGATGGCAACATACTTTTTCTCATTAACGATGCAGCAGAAATGATCGGCAATATGAAAGTTATAAAATATGAAAACTGCCAATTCGGTTTTCTCGGTCCAATATTTTCGAAAGATTCTCTCAGCGCGCGTCTGCAGGCAGCAAAATCAGAAGACACCTGCATTGTAAATTTTTCATTACTTTCTAGGTTTGTTTGAAAGCAAAAAAAAAAAAAAAAAAAAAAGGATGAAATGAAAAAAAAAAATCTATCATCACGGAAATAAATATTCGTTGTGTCACTCCCAATCAATTCCATTATTCCTCGATAATATTCAATGACTTTGTACGGAATTATTCATTCGCATTGATTGCGGGGGGTGGTGGGTGGATTTGAATTCGCAATGTCTCGATCGCTGCACCGAAATAGTCAGCAGGAATGGCGTAGTTCATTTGATTGAAGTCTTAACATGAACTGTCAAGTATAACACGATCGAAAAACAATACATAGCCAACAATTATTGTAAGGGAGTCGTTTAGCTTTCATAAAAGGACTCCCATAAAATCACGACTGTCATAATAGGCTGCAGTTTTGTTTTTGGTGTTTGATTTTTGGAACCATCAGTAGAAATGCAAGAAAAATAAGGAAACTGCATCAAAAACTCTCTTCTGCTCATTTTCTTATTATATATATATATATTTTGTCATCTACAGACAGACTGTTTCGCAGCTCATCAATGTGGCTAGACATCCGATTGTCTCAAGTCAGGAACGAAACCCGACCGATTTGGCATCAGTCGGATATTTTGCCCATAAGCTATTTTTGCGTATTTATTTTTTTGAAATCATAGAAGAGTGTTGCATTATCAACAGTAGCAGTCACTGTTTAAAAATTCGCGCTTTCCCTCTAAAGTGCTCGACAGAATTTAATTTTTTCAGTGGCGTATATATTGTCATCCACAGACTGACTGTTTCGCTGTATCACAGTTCATATCTGATTGCCTCAATCCAGGGTCGCAACCCGACTGATTTGGCATTATTCGGAGATTTTTCCTCTAAGCTATCAACTCCTGGCAGAGAGCAAATTGATTTTTTACGTATTTATTTTTGAATAAACACACCAGTGACTCAGAGTGTTCGATTCATAGAAGAGCTTTGCATTATCAGCAGTAGCAGTCACTGTTTTACAAATTCTCGCTTTCTCTCTAAAGTGCTCGACCGAATTTTAATTTTTCGGTCTGGGGAAAAATGTATGACAAAGTGGGAAAATTTTTCTTGTGATGGGTTTCTTCCTTTAGGACTTTTTTCGACTAAACTTGTTATGTTGGCGTGACTACACATACGCACGAACGATGGATGCTGAGAATTTTAAATTTTAGATTTTCTAATTTAATTTAGCCGATTCTTGTTCTTTCCATCACTTTTGTTAGTAGATATCACACACTGTGATAATGGAAGTTCTGCCAGGAATGGTAAAATGTTGTAAGAGATAGGGCGAAAATTTACTGGAGATGACCCTGCAATCATGGCACTCTCTATACATTTTCGTCGTAGTGAATTGTTTTCTCCTTTGAGTAGCATGTTTATGTCAAAACTGTGGACAGTCTCGTTACGGTGGGTAACCAACGCATTTGATCACTAAGTTATTTCCCATTTGAGTAATATTATTATAAGCAATTGTGCATTTACAATCCCAAGACGACAATAGGTGAAAGCAGCTCAGTATTTAGTGTTGGGAATCCGTTTGGCCCTCAGATATATGATACGATATATATGTCTCGATTTCATGGTGAGTTTTCCAGAAATGATTTAGTTTCCTTGGACTTTACCACTGTAATCAGAATATGTCACTGACACTATAAACTCTTAATTCAATGGTAGGTGCTGATCCAAAGTCATTCGATGTCGTTGGGATTGATTACTTAATTTGTATGTGTTTTTCACACTATTTAAGAATCATTTCATTATGCAACGAAGGTCCGAATATGGCCAGGGGCTATATGGTCAAATCGTCATGAAGAAAACATTAAATAAAATAAATGCGGAAATATGAGGAAATTAGTTTGAATCAACCACGTATAATGATTAAAATGTCATGTTTAACAAAACTCAGACAATGTTTCAAAGATGTAACGTTATAAATTAATGAAGACCAGACTTGGCTCTGCACATTTATAAAAAACAAATTTTCATGGCGGTGAGATTAATTCGGTGCAGAAACAGTAAAAAAAAAATTTAAATATCAAAAATGACTTAATATATTTATCTGTTACGCAATATGTTGTCCCTTCTTAATAATGATATGTTGTTATAGTAACATTGGCGAGACTCTCAAAGACTCTTTTTTGTTACCACAAATGAGTTAATATATTTATCTATTACGCAACCTGTTGTCCTTTCTTAATAATGATATGTTGTTACAGTAACATTGGCGGGACTCTCAAAGACTCATTTTTGTTACCACAAATGACTTAATATATTTATCTGTTACGCAACCTGTTATCCCTGCTTAATAAAGATATATGTTACGGTAACTTCCGGCCTTGTGTCACATCTACGCTTGGAAAATTATTTTATTGCATTTACGGTGTTTCGTCTTGTTAATATTTGTTTTGTTTATTTTTAAGTACTCTAGGTTTAGTTTATGGTTACTTTGCTTCTACAAATTTGCTTTTGTAGTTGTCAAAAATTTCCTTATTACTAGAGTTAGTGGAAAGCCTAAATTGAACCGATTTATTTAAATTGTTTAGAATTCTAAGGTGGTGG